TTCGCGATATAATTTATTGATCGCCGTTCTCTTATAATTATCGTTGCGATACTTAATGAACGCGTTTCGTTAGCGTTGCGCATACCAAAATGCACACAGCTGTGCATAACAGCAGGTTAAAAGAAACTACGCGGTTAAAACGACTGCAAAGCGTCGGTTCCGTACAACCAAAATGGCTGCCTATGAATTTCGCGCAGCCTTAAATGATTAAACACTATATTATCGTGCAAAGTTGCGAATTTACAAATAAAGCTACTTGGCAATTTTTCATTTTCTATTTATAAAATTAGTTTTGCGCACCCCTCGTGTTCAATTTTGAAATATTTAATTTATATTGTATAAATTAGTGTCACGAATAAGATCGTCGTTCACGGATTTATTTTACCGATATTTTTATTAACTAGCCAATTTTGTTTGCTTCAACTAGCCATACTTTACGTACCGAAAGTCTATTAATATACGTTTCAATCATTAAGCTATCTGTAAAAGAAACCCGATATTTGTTACATTATATGCATCCAAGTAAATTGTTGAATTATGAATAAAATTGTTGTCGCTTTGGAAAAATATATTAGGGAATTTTCAACTATCGAATTTCAACAAGAATGATCAGGGTGACCAATTGCTGCGCTTTTGGTTTGTTTCCGGGCATAATTAACTTTAAATTTAACGAATAAGACATACTAAAATTTTTTATTAAAAAATATACAAATTGACAGAATAAAAAAATTGATCATGTCTTATTCGACAAATGCATAAAGGCACAGAAATTGGTTGCTTAAGCGTGTTATCCTTGTACGTGAAATTATAGGTTGAGGTAAATTAAAGTTTATCCGAATATAAATGTATTACTTAATCGTCATTAGCATCAAACGAAGAGATCTCACGCACCGATGGATAATATTAACGGTAAACTTATTAAATTTATTTCCAGCTATGCCATCGTTTCGTCATGTTTCTTAGTACATACATAATTGCTCTTGCTGATCGCACTCACTAATTGCTCTCACTGATTGCTCTCGCTGAATATTGCATCTCAGAACATTGTATTTCAGAACTAATGTTCTCACAATTAAAATTAATTGCATTGCTGTAAAATCTTGGAAATTATTATTTAGTATGTTGAAAAGAAACGTTAGCCTCGGACAAAAATTAATCTATAGTTTACTTAGAACGGAGGATCGAAAATATCAGATTACATTTGCGCCGACTCCGTCAGTGCGCACCGACGGTGATATAAACTGTATTTTATAAATACAGCAATACATTATCGCCGGTGTCGTTAGAACACACCGTGCTCTGACCGTTAGTGACCCTAATATCGCGTATACAATGCAAAACGCGATGAATGGCCGTCTTTGATTGGTGGAGAAGACCACACCAAAAAGGGTATACATATAAGCAGGCGATACTCAGTCGCCTGTCTCTTAGTTGAATTTAGTCGCTCAGTCATTTCGTACATATACCTTCTCTCAAATAAAAGCACAAAAATAAAAGTTTTAAGAAAAAGAATTTATATCATATTCATTTGAGAAATAATCCAAGCCATAATCCCAATAAGTAATATTAACTGTTGAACTCGGCGAATATATGATACTGGCTGTACGTGTCGCACTGTTTCGTGCTTTTCTAACTACAAACTTTGCATCGAAGGTTCCAGAAATTGAAGAGGTGTCGATTTAAGGCTATCGGAATACAACTCGAATATTCGAGCGGCTCGAAATCCGGACCGAGTTGGGACTCCATTTTCGAGTCGAGCCGATTACAGTAATTTCTCCCTAATCCGCGCTTACATTTCGCACGAAAATAGACAATTTGGAAAGAGAAGATACCATTATTCGAGCCTTGCGGTTCGTTTTTATGTTTGTTGATGTTGAAATTTTAGCCTCGAACAAAAATTAATCTATAGTTTACTTAGTACTAAGATACTAAGATATCGGTTTACATTTTCGCCGGTTCCGTCAGCGGGCAACGACGGTGATGTAAACTGTATATAGTAGATACCGCGATACATCATCACCGGTACCATTAGATATACATCGTACCCTGACTGTTTGGGGGTCCCAGCGTCACGTATACAATGTGAAACGCGACAAATAAAACGTCTCTGATTGGTGGATAAGACGAACCCAAAAAGGGTATAAAAGAAGCGTTTTTTCTTACCGGACTCTCGGTAGAGTTTGGTCGCTCGATCGTTTTCGCCCATATACCTTCTCTCAATAAAGGAATAAAATAAAGTCCTTTTAAGCAAAGATTTAGAATCATATTCATTTTCATTCCATAATCCCAACAGTTGACAATCGGTAACTATAAAAAAACGAGCCGCATGGCTCGAATAATCTCATTTCCTTTTCCCAAATTGTCCATTTTTGTGCGTAATCTGAGAGCAAATTAGGGAGAAATTACTGTATTCGGTAAAACCGAGCGGCTCGAAAGAATCGAGTAGCTCAAATTGTTTCGAGCGGTCTTATCTTCATGTTTATATAAGCAATGCATTCAAGGGTCCCAGTCCCAAAAGATTCCAACTCAAGTTATTACTGTATAACGATTGATCGTGATGATTTTCTCGGATGTATTTGCTTTTACAACGGATAGATGATGAACATCACAGGCAAATGAAAATTATGAATCGATAACAGTCCATTATTTAGACAATAATTTTAAGATAAAGCATTCCGCTCTAAAAATTTATATTTTCTTCAAGTCTCGTAATAGTAAAAATTTAAATAAATTAGTGATAAGTATCTTACGTAACGTAACCGATAATGCAGCGAATATTATACAGGCGATGCAATTATTTCATAAGCGGGAGCGTATCCTATATTTCCCTTGCAGTTTACTGGTGAACAAACAATAGGAAACGATTAAATGTCAAGATAAATAATAAATCGTGAAACTTTAATACCTAAATATAGCCAGTTCTTTTTTGAGTTAGCTATAAAATATTCTATAAAACACTCGGAATAGTAGTCGAAATTTAAGAAAATGTTGGACAATCGTAATATTATTCCGCTTCTTTTGTTTTGTAGTTGAACATGGATGAAATTTATAACAAACAATAATATATCAGTATAAAATACTTTAAACAGTAGATTCCAATTTATAGAAAGACCTAAAATTTTGATAATTGCAATGATCGTCGACCTTTAAAAACACACTGTTGTATTTATTAACATTGTATGCGTGAACTCAATTAATCTAATTTTTAAATAATTTACTGCAATCAAGAATCCTTCTGTGGTAAAAATGTTTCCCTATGTTTGCAATAATAAACTTATTAATGCAAGGTAAAAGATCCATTCGAGAATTCATACAGTGCCAATAGGGGTAGCGGTAAAACGCTCAAACTCTTAGCCAAATAACCGACAGTCGATTTAGGTTCAACAGTTTGAACGTTTTGTCATTATCCCAATTGGCGCTGTACGGACCTCGACTGGAGCTTCGTTTCTTCTCCACAGGAGGCGCCACTTTTTGACATTTTCAGAAGCAGATTCTATCGTACATATAGCGAAAAAAAACGGGACGCATCTCACTTATTCTGTGTATTTACAATAGTAAACAAACTTGTTTTGCATGACATAGATGCAGGTAGGTTTTCCCAACATTCCTATACTCCTCTAACTATTGGGTTGGCAAACTAAGTAATTGCCGATTTGTTCAATGAAATAAACAANATGGAATAACAAACAATAACACAGCATAAACTATAGATTTGAAAAATATTTTAAATTCATAGAACTCAATATTTTGATCATTGCAATGATCATCGACCTTTAACGAATAAAGAAAGAAAACAGAAATAACAAGGATAAGGAAAAAGTACGCTGAAGAAGATGATAAAATAAAGAGAAGTATATGTTATGTGTATTTATATACACATATGAAAAAAGAAAGACATTATTAGTACTGCTGAAATATTCGTAAATCTGTGCAAAAATATTCTGGACAGTAATTAAAAATATCTAAAATAAAGCAGCAATATGTATAATATGTTTATTATACGCGAAGAACAGTTTATTCTGATCAGTCGGAACGCTCAATCGTAACGAGCCCCTTGAAATGCGTCCGAATTGCTCGCTTACATTCGAGCCGCTCGATTTCTTTTGAGCTACTCGATTCTTTCGAGGCACTCAATCTTTCAAGTCTCGACTCGAATGGATTATTCGAGCGGAGTAATACCCGATTCGTGTTTTGCGAGTACTCGAACAGCTCTATCTCGATCTTGTATTTGTGTATCTGACAACACTGTAACGTCGAGTCTTACGTAGTTCACTAGGTGACTGTTTTATTTAGGTAGAGGGCGCGAGAATATCGCAGATTTTGGTGTGGTCAGTATTTCAGAATGTTGGATAGGAAATCCTACTTTGCGCTGATACCTCGTCTGAGGTGCAACTATTATTAATTATAATAGCGTAATCACTTAACATAACCAATAAAATAATAAAACTATACAAATCCAATTTATCCATTCTTGGTAATAAGGAAATCTATGTTCACTGCAGAGGATAACTTACATGTCGGTGCCATTTGTCCACCAGTTTGAGCGTTTTACCGCTACGAATCGTGGCACTGCAAGGGTGGCGCAAAATTCAAATTTTAAAAAGCAAATGATTCTTACCAATGTTTAAATTGTACGTTTCATTAAAACATTTTAAACATTGATAACTATTACCGAGAGTTATAGAAATTTATTTAACGATCGTGTTGTGAATAATGAATAAACTTACGTTGCGTGACATGTTCATACGTTGTTACGTGATTTTATTGTAGTACTCCATTAGCCGAACTTGTCGGTTTTATTATCTGAACGGTTTTATCCTCTATTAGGTTCGGATGATCGAAATTCTACCACATGTATTTATAATTGAAAACGTAATTTCAACCCACTCCGGTACCTCACTCTCGCATTATTCAAATATTAGGAAATGGTTGCACGAGGATTGGATAACAAGATGTAAGTCCAATAGCAGAATTTCTAAACAGTGAACATTACACACAAGCATTTTACATAAAATAATATATCTTCAAAATATCAAATATCAACAGTCTTTTCACATTATTTTGTACAATATATACCAAAAATGCATCGCTCGTTGAACGTTACATTTGATCACAACAATCAGTATTAACGTTATTAATCTTCATTCATTCACTTTGATCGTTCTTTCTTCCATTGCTTCCTTTTCTGCTAATTTCTTTTTCTTTATTAAAACTTTTTGATGTTTATTGCTTTTCAAATGTATGCCCCACTGTTCGCCAATGAAAAACCTGTCACAAACCTGAAGAAATTCATTGAATTTTGTTGAGTTTAGAAACATTCATTAAAAACGGAAGTAAGAATTTTTGTAAGACAAAGAATACTTACATCGCAGTAATGACATTCTTCGTTACTGCTATCCGTGGTTTTGATATTTTCAATAGATTCGTTCGCAGCTGCCTGCTCAGGCTTTTCTCCTCTTAATATTGCTTCTACTATCGACACAGCTTTGCCATATACAGAATGTTCCCAGTTTTTCACGTCCGTGCAGTCCAACGTATAAATAGGGGGCGTCTATAATTGCAAATAATACATAAATAGAAAGCATTTATGCTCATAATAATTTATGTCATCTTTATTTAAACATCTCATACTTGTCTGTCAACGCGCCGAATCATGCGATTACGGATCCATTTTTCCTGCATCTTTGAGTATCTCTTGGTAACAAGTTTGAGATTATCGATTCCTTCTTGCAGTAATTCTTCTCCCTGCAAATAATTGAACATTCGTAATTATTTAATTCGAAGTATTTTATTTGAAATTTATTCATTTATCAGTAAATCCATTAACGCCTGTTCGATGGAAGGTCATCAGATCCATTTTCTTTTTCTAATTATGTAGATTATTATTATTATTACATTCTGAGTATGTAATTGTTTAGCTTTTAATACAACAATATTGTTTAAATTGTAGCTTTCTGATAGGAAATGATAAATCGATTCCGTCGAATAAAAATATTTAAAAATTACGAGACTAATAATAAAACAAATCATGAATAAGGCAAGATCATGCGACGACAAATTGGTGGTCAATTTTTCATGTGGTATACGCATACATGACACAACATGTGGATTGCTTCTAAGATTGGTAAAAAAAAGGTATTTCTTAGAAAGTTTTCTTTGAGCCAAGATATTGGGATGTAGCCAAAGCCGAATTTATTCCAAGAAGTTTCTCCTTATGGTGGTTTAAACAAAGACCAAACTGTCGTATAAATTCATAGAAGTCTGAACATATCAGAATATGTAGTGATTTACAGTGACACGTTGTAACCAGCCCACAGAAAAACTGGCAAATGGAATGTTTTTTTGACCGACGAAAGGTCTCTTTGTGGCTGCAGAGTCGAACGTGTTCTCATATTGTACAAATATGGCCGGAGGATTGGGATGTACGGTCGCATTCATCATTATTTCTTAGATAATTCGTTACCACATTGCTGTCTGCGTAATAACTTCAGCAATTTGGTCGTTATTACGTATACTAATTAATTTCTGATCATTATGAATGATCATTTCTAACATCGAGTTCGAATCTTTGTCAGTTAAATCTTGTACATTGAACAAAGATTCTTTTTTTCTGCTTCTCATTAAAAAAGAATATTCATGAGGCCAAGGAACTTATTTACTCCACTTTGAAAAAGATCGCTATGGTTTACAATAGACAAAAAAGGAGAAATCTTTGCAGTTTTGGCTCATCTCACAATGGACACGTGTTTGCACACTTAATAAAAATATTCTAAAAAATGACATTCCTGTGAGGATTTTTTTGTTATAAGTTGGTATAATTGGATAATATATCGAATGATGTAGAAAGTAGTATGATTCGAAATTAAAATGTGTGTCAAAATATTGTATGGAAATATTGTACCTAGAAATTTGTATTATATTGTAATAGTACATTAAACGAATATAATAAAATATTATTATCAACGATTCCGTTTCTCAACCATGGAAGAATTAATTTTGTTGCAGATAATGGAATAGGCTATGAAACAAATGCATCAACTGACAATAGTGTACAGATCTTAATATTATATAATATTGTCGACTTGCTTAACAAAAGTTTCACATAAGCAACACCTCTTGGTACATTTTGACGTATATATAACATATTAACACATAGCGTATCGGTTACGTGAATCTGCGGCAACGCTTTGAAGCGTTAAGAACGAGAAACATCGACTGACTCCTTTTGAACGTTCTCGAGCCGCGCTATTATCTGAAAATTGATGGTAATTAAGTTTTTATAAAGTTCACTTCGCACAGTCCGCAATGTGCTAATAAATATAAAATTTCAACCAAATGCAGCGATTTTATTCACTAGCCGAGCATTTCGTATTCTCTGCATTCATTTCAATTGCTAATTTAGTCTAGTTGGTATCTGGTCACTTCGGACTGGCTTCTTTTCGCGATAACTTGCAATGAAAATTTTTCATATATTTATAATACTTCGAATACCGTTAGAACCTTTCAAAACGTTTTCGTGTATTTCTAACGATGGACGCATTATGTACTTTCATTTTTTCTTGCTCTAATTAAGGTCAAACCACTTTTTATAACGCGTTGCGTGTACTATCGTTTATGAAATCAACTTGTTTTTTTTATAGAGTAATAATAATAATCTGACCTAACTTCATTACCA